ACACACACACACACACACACACACACACACACACACACACACGTGCGTCCAGATAGCCGCGGCTGCCCAAGGGCTGCTTGAACACGCCACCCCCGGCCGGCACAACATGGTCTATTACTGTACACGACACCCCCTCGGACAACGTCAAATGGATAGCACTTAAACTTGCTCCGCAACTCTCACCGCCATATCACTCGCTCTCGGACCTAGCTCAATACAGTAAACACGAGCCCCGGCTTCGCCCATGGCCACTGATGCCCGAGAAAGCAACTGGAGCCTTCTACTTACTACCTGGGGCTTGGCTTGCTTATTGTAGTGTTCCGAAGTACAAATTGGTGTCCCCGACGTGATTCAACTATGCACTCATAACAGATGCTCGACAGGCTCATTACCGACGTTTATCCCTATAGTGACTCACTTTTTGGTTTGTTTAGACAACCGTACGGGTTCTTATGGTTCCTGAGAGTCTTATAACTCACTCACTCACGCGTTTGCTTGTTCTTGTAAGATGATCAACTACCTCTTTAAATTTAGGAGAAGTCGTCAAAACGGAGTCGAAATCGAAAGAACAAGAAGGCAGAGCAAACTGACAAGACAATCAGCAAAGCCGCAATCGTCGAATCGGAACAGGTGGTTCGACCCACGCAGTCCGGACAGAATCCACCAATGGCAATACTAGGGGTCAGTCTTCTTCTATATAAATCTTATTCAAATACAATCCCAGGTTTGAACCGCTTTAGATTTCAGAAAACACCAGAGGGACACAGTTTAAAGCGTAATGCTGGAACCCTTAGATTTGCGCAATGAACGTCTGCCTTCGGAAACTAACGGCAATATGTGTGGGCTTCCCATAAAATGCATAAAACAAAGGTCTAACGCACTTGGAACTATCACGGTACTCTTCAATTATGCCTACTCCACAGTCAGCCAAGTGTCCGTTTGTTTGGGGTGGTTGATTGGCGGGCTGATAGCAGACTTCAATGGCTTCTTCTTAATGTAGTCACTACGACAGTCTTTCTTTGCGGAATCCGAGTC